GCCTGTATAGTGTTTATCTCAGTATTTCAGACAAATTCTGATTGTACAATACTTGCTGTCTCTGGAAAACACAGATCCTTAGAGTTGGAGAAATTATTTAGTTTTTTCTTTCTATCCATAATATTTAGAAAATAATAGCTATATTTTAATAAACACTAGGAAAAAAATACTCTAAGTTTAAAACTCGCAAAAGTGCCAGAAATTTGCATTGTGATTCTTGGGATTGTCCTGTGCAGGTCTAGAAGCTGGACTTGGATGATCCTCGTGGGTTTCTTCCAAATTAGGATATTCTAGGATTCTACTATGGAAGCAGCTGGGTCACAGTTGCTGTCTTTTGCCATGTACCCATTTATTCTTGACTTGAATGTGGTGAGCAAACAACCCAGCCAAAACTGCCAAACCTTCTGCTTTCTTTTGCAAATAGATTGCAAGTCTGGGGCTCCACAGAAAAATAATCCCAGTGTTTAAAGCTGCAGGTTTATGAGCACTGTGGCATTTTGCCATGGCTTTTACACTGACACATTGCACTCTTGTCTGGTAATGGTTGGTATTTTTGAGTTTTCACATGGAATCCCAGCTGACTAATGAGTTTCTTCACTTGAGCACTGCAGAAGTCATAGGTAGAGCTGTGGAGTCACTGCTACACCTTTTGTCTGGAATGTGTCCCCAGGGAAACTGCAATACACCATCAAAGGAAAAGCAAGCTAATGTCTTTAGTAACTGCAATTAGTCAGAGTTTCATTGTTTCAAGTCACCTGAAACGTGACATCTTCAGCAGCACTGGAGGCATCCCGAGCTTAAAACCAACTGGATCAATATATGTTCAGAGAAAGCAGATGTATCTCTTGTCACTGGCATTTCCTGAATGATCTCTGTTGCATTTGGTCCTCCTTTCTTTCTGATCTGAGATTTCAGTTCCTATGTTATTACATTTTCCAGCAGAACTTGTCTTCTTCCCACATCTTTATTGTATGAAGACACCAATATTCTATTACTTAGCTTGTCTTCTGCGGGTTTAATTTCTGTCGATTAGATTCGGAGATGTTTGATTGACTGGTGTTAGTCGATTCTTCCTAATGGGGCTGCTGGGTATTGCAGTGCCAAAGCATTTCAAAAATTCATTGGAAGAAGGAGCAGAGGACCAGGTTAGTACTTTGTGGCTTCAAAGCTGTGCATAGCGAAATTTAAAGCAAATATGTCTAAAATGCTCCCAAAGAAGTCAACAAACTGGAAAACACACAAAATATTTGAAGCTCTCAGATATAAAGATCTATTTTATAAATGAAATGTGAGCTGGGCATATATTTTCCCATGAATGACAACCTGACTTTGTTTATTGACAAATCAGAGCCTTTAAGTGTCATGGAAGGTGGGTTATGATTCCTGTGTGTGAGAACTGGTACTTCCAGCTTTTCAGCTTTGCTCCCTCTTCATCCAGGCTGTTAGAAATAGGCCTGCCAAAAAAAAAAAAAATTAAAAATTGGTATGATAGTTGAAGGTATTTTGATAAATATTTTCAAAGTATAGCTATTGCTTTACTTCCAGTTTGTGAAAATAAATCTTGGCATCTTTTCTAGTTTCAAGTTGCTTTGCTCTCAGTTAATCTCTCTTCCCCCTCCTGCTGGACAGGTACCATGTACCAATAATTTTATAGTTGTGTTTTGGATAAATACTCTATTTCTTGGTGGGAAATAGAGCAAACTAGAATACAATAACATATCATATAGGAGGGTTTTTCAATGCTAAAAATGAGGTAAATTAGACAAGAATTGTTTGCTTTTTCCATTTCCCCTTTGTCAAAACCAGAAATGTATTTTCAGTCTGTAGCACAAAACACAGCAAAGTGTCTCATTAGTGGTTTTACCTCCTGTTGTGATTTATGACTTCATATAGTATTTTTCTTACCAAAGCAGCTCCTTGGGAAACAGCATGTGTATGTTAATAATTTGAGTTCTTTTTAAGTAAATAATATTTTATTACTCATTGTTAAATATAATTATATATATTTTGGAACATTGCAGTTAAATTGTATATAAAGTTTTCTGAACACAGCATTTTTTGATAGGTCACGTTTAGCAATTACATTTCAAAGTAATAGTATAGCATCTTGTCAATGTTGAGTGCATTTAGAATCTTTGTGTTGGATATAGTGGATAAGATTTTTCAAGTTAATATTTTTATTAAAAATATTGATAAAGCTAAAAGTTGGCTTTTTCCCATTGTTTACGAAGTATCTAAGCAGTTTCTGGTTGCCTACAAGTTTCATCAAGCAAATTTATACTTTTTGAACTGAAACTCTGCATGATTAAGACTGAGATAAGTGGTAAATTCAAAGTGAATTATTACAACTCCTAGTATACTTAAATGTAAACTTCCTATAAATCCTGATTAATGAGTGCAGAATATTATGAAATAAATGTAATGTACTTCTTCATTCTACATAATATAATTTGCAGAGTATCAGAAAGGCCTTAGACCTCTAAGCATAAACAAGAAATAACCCTCAGTATCTTGGACTTATTTTCCTTGTTTTATTATCTGTTTCTTTTAGTGCACTAAAGCAGTTATTATAGTGTATTGCTATGCATCAAGCCTGCATGTTGTCTGATTCAAGAAACAAAGCTACTGGTTAGTTATGAAGCAGAGATACACCCTTTTGTGGGTCTTTATGACCAGCAAAACCCAAAATTAATATAGTATTTGGGGACTGGAATGCACTGATAGTCGCAACATCTTTGGTTATATTCATGAAGAGGGAATAGAAATGGTTTTTCACAATACCTGCAGTGGTAGTGCTCTGGGCAAGCACTGGTGTCTTAATCCCTGGAAATCACGTGAATTGGAAGGAATTTTAAATATGTTTTTGATTTAAGAAGGCTCTGTATTTATTTGGCTTGGTATTATGTTATAAGTATCCTAAAATGTTTCTTCTATTGGTGTCCGTGGCTAACTGAATTCCCCAAGAGCTTTCCACAGATATTTAGAATGCCCTAATCTGAAAGTATTTAAAATCAAAACAATTTTCATGCCTAAAAAGAACTGAATTAATTATGGCCCACAGCAACACGGACCTCTGTATATGATGAGGGAGACAGCAGAAAAATATTCTTCGTTCCTTCAATGAAGGATGTAATATTTCCATCTTGTTGTTTTTGGTGTTGATTATATTCCTTTTGCAAAGTTCATTTAGTCATGGTCATTTTCATGCTGCCAGATGCTGGCTGTTTGGGATCTGTGGGATGATGGAGAAGGAGAGAGGTTGGAAAAAATGAAATATTGGTAACTTCTAGGGGGGCGGAGATGGACATTTCAACTTCTGTCTCCATTCCTTCTCATCTTAGTCGTGACTATCTAAAACAGTCATTTCTATCTATTTTGGAAAGCTCTGAATTTTTTTATTTTGATAGTCCAGTGTTCCGAAATTGGAAGAATGAAGGCTGCAGATCTTTCTGAGCTTGTCCAAGTGTTAAGACAATTCTATAATTAAAAAGTGCCAGGATATACAATGAGAAATGCCTGAATGCAGGGTTGGATGGAAGCATTATTTTGTGCAGTTTCTGAAGGATCCTGAGGAAGTCCATAACCTTCCCTGTAGTGAAATGGAATCTGGATGGCAAGTAAAAGGGCCCAAGAATGTCAGTAAGCAAGCAGCCAAAGCTTCTGCCTGTGCCTCCTACAGTCTGAAAGCAGCAAAGCTCTCCAAAATATCTCCCTTACAAGACCACGTTGCTCAGGGCTCTGATATTCAAGCTTCTGTGAAATTGTTGTTGCTATTTATTCAAGCCTGAGGGTTTTAACCAAGTGCTTGTACCAGCAGCCTTTTGTGCCTGATATGGATTAGTAAAAAGAAGGAAAATATGGAAAGGAAGAGTGATCAGATAGCCAGTTATATCAACTACAGATTAAACTAACTTGGATATATTTTTCCTGAGTGTCTTACTAGTGGTTTGTTATTTAGGTTGGTGGTGTATACTGCCTCTGAATAAACATCCTACATTTAATTGTGTTAATTAAAAAGAACCTCTGTATTCATTAATGTTGTAGACATTTATAAGCATAACTTCAGCCTAATTGTGGCTGCTGCCCTTTGGCTTCATGTGCAGAATGAGGGAGAGAATATACAGCTGCTAATTCATCCTGAATGCTGCAGGCTTTTCTCTTGACTTCATCTCATAAACACTAAATTAGAGCTGGATATACTTAAGGTGAAGGCAGCAAGGACAATTGTGAGTGTGGGAATCTTTGGTCTGAGAAATTACTTTTTTTACACGAGTAAGTTGTATGAAGTGTATTTAGAAAACCTTAATATGGGGAAAGGTAAAGAGGATTTTTTTTTTTTTTTAACTGAGGAAAATCCTACATTATCTCAAATTTATCAAATATAATTTTCAAAGAAATAAGAGGAAGTTACTAAACATGTTGAACTTATTGGTTCAACATGTTTCACACCTATGGGTGTGAAGAAAAGCATAAACTAATAAAAAAATTAATTAGGCAGTCATCAGGGACATTTGTCTGATATAGGATTGTTTTTCCTCTTGTAACTCTTGGAGGAGTTTTTGCTGTAATAGTAATAGACATAAAGATGAATTTTAGACTGGTTACTTTTCTTTCTGTTTACACTATTGTACATTCAAAACATGAAATAGAATTACAAATCCGTCATTTTACATCTCTAAAACATGATGTTGACTTAAAAATCATGCTACTTGAAAGAAAAATAAAGATACAGTTCATTTTATTTGTCTTTCTGATGTTACATACCACTAAGTTTGTATAATTTTTCTTAAAACCATATCTTTCCTCTGGAGGCATTTCAACTCTGGAAAATTGAAATTATTGTGAACCTGGAAATGAGGGCATTAACAAACCCCACTAAATTTCATAAGAAGGGACAACACTTTTTCTGTATTTCCTTGAAAGTTTGCCTGCTCACTACTAATATAATCCTAACTGTATTCAAAACCTTACCTTCTGTAAAATAACACAGAAAACCATCATCAGAGTGGAAGTCTGGGCACTTGAGGCATTAGGCTGAACCAAGCATGGCCATGACAAGCAGCAGTGGTGGTTTTCCTCAAGCTCCTTGGTGGTCCTGTCCTCCTCCTGCTGTATCACCTGAGCTGCTACTCAGGCAGTACCTGATCCTGCTGAGTGGCTGGAGGCTCATGTCAGAGCTGGCAGAAAGCTGACAGGGACTCATCATAACTTCCAAAAGCCACTGGTTTCATGAATGTTGAGAATAGAAGGTATCCAGGCTGGGTTGAATTCTTTTGCAGTATAGGGATCAAGAGAATGGTTTTTAAGGATTCCTGCCACCATTGGGAACAGTTTTCCCCATAGCAGCTGACTTACTCATGGGTAGGGGTAGAAACAGGATAGTGTGATAAACTTTCGGGGGTTTATAAGATTTGAAAGCAAGACAGAGACTGAAGAAAGTACGTGGGAGGTAAAAATGACATAAGGCTGCAGAGAGGGACAAGAAAATTATCTGCAAAACATTCCGAGGTGTGACTGATGTTGTATGTTTTGGACATTGGAGGTGTTTGCTTTCTGATCCAAAACTTTTAAGTTAGTGAATTTACTTTATGGTACCTGAAAAGGGTGGGGATGTGGGTTGTTTAGTTTAAGGTTTTCTTATTGTCTGGATGCAAAAATTGTGAAACCTCTGTGAACTCCTAAGTTTTTTTTTGGTTCTTCAGCACATCACATGGTGCTAGCAATCAAAACAAACATGAGTGTCTGCCTACCTTATTTCAGTAACAGTTGGGAGAGAAATACAAGAAATGGTGTTTTAATTATTAGCAATGAGACTGGTGATTAAGAATGGCTTGATGGAGAAATTTAACAGAAGCCACAGCTTACTGACTCTATGTGACAGATACTGACCTAATTTTTTGGCAACTAAGAGCCATAAACATCATCCTTGATGTATCAGACTCAGCATCTGGTAGGCTGTCTTATAACTTTTAAAAATTAATGCACAGAAGGGTAAAGAACTGTACATCAGCATGTGTTTGTTTTCTGTCTAAATGCAAATGTTACATCCTCTCACAAGCCCATAAATATATTGTACACTTAAAAATAAAAGATCTTTCATCATTGATATGGTCATGGTGAAATCCCAGTATTTAGTTGTTTGTGATATTACATGCTGTTTGTTTAAAAAAAAAAATCTCTGAACATATATCAGAAGTTCATGATTGTCTCCACCAGCCAAAATATCATTCTTTATTCAGATGAATAAGCAAGGCTTTAGATTTATTAATACCATCTTTTTAGTGTTGCACTGAAAAGGGCATCATGTCTGTAGTTGAAAATGTGACAACTTCAGGGAATTTGTGACCATTATTGCTTTGTCATTCTAAAGACATTGATTATTTTTTTTTATATTAATCTACAGCACAAGGTTTGTGGCTCATTGGTTATGAGTACTGCATGTTTATATAGAAACAACAAAATGTCAGACTGTAGATGAATTCAAGCTTTTGGGCACACTTAAGCAAGCACTGGGCATTTTAAGACTGTTTGAGCAGTCTGAATGTCAGGAATCTTTCTCAGAGTACCTTTCATGAAAATCTAAAATTTTGCACTTTCGTCTTGTGATTGCTGATCCAGTACCCACAGGGTCAGTTTGTATCTTAAATACAAACATTTGGAGATGCAGGTAGTAGCTCCATTATTGCTGTGGCAGAAAACCTATTAAAGGAAAAACTGACTGCAATCTATTGTTTTGAGAATATGTGCATTACTGAATGTCCCCTTTCTCTTTCCTTCCCTCTCTACCCTGTACTCCCGCCCCCTGGATTTTGGAGATCCTAAGGATAGGCAGTGTGAAAATATAAAATGCATAGCTGCTCTGTGCAGTGCAAGGATTGCTGCTACTCCTAAAGATTTGTTCTTCCTGTTTGCTACTTGGGGAAAAAAAAAAAAAAAATGCAGTGCTATTCCCATGCAATAATTCAGAAATGCTGCAAGTAGTTAGTGTATTGAAGCTTGCATTTTAGTTTAAATGTGAAGTAAAGCCTTAAGAAAATGCAGTGAAATGTCCTGAGCAGTGGCACAGTGCAAAGCAGGAAATCTCCTGCACACAATAGAGATTAAATGCTCCCTGTGCATACTGTATTCTGCTCAGCCCTCTGCGCTCGGAGCTGGGACCGTGGCAGTCGTTATCTCCAGCAGGTTCCTTGGTGATTTTCAAGCCCTGCACTACCTACCCAAGTGGCAGTGACACCAGCTTTCACTGAAGCCTTATTACTCTTAAAAGAGCAATTTGGTTGGTTGCACAGCTATTAGGATCAGACAGTCAGGCTTAAAGCTGTCAGTACAACTGCTGCTCATCTTTTTTCACAATCCTGACATCTTTTCTCTTTTCTGCTGGACACAAGCATTACTGTATTTATCATTTTCAATCAAGCTCACGCTGCAAGCTGAGGAATATATTCCCACAGAAACCAAAGTGAGGAGCAGAAATTATTTTATAGCTGCTGTAGTAGCAGCGGTGCTGGCTGCATGTTGTGTGGGAGAAATCGGATCAGTGAGAAATGTGGCTTTCCTCAGGGCTACATCATTGAAAAATTACTTCAACGTCTGAGAGGAGCAAAGCTACTCCTTGCTCTAATTTTTCAATGATTAATCACTCTTCCCTAAGTAAATACAAAGAGGGGGAGAAGATGTGAGATTTTTTTTTTATTTTTTTTTTTTATATTTTTTAAAATAACTTGTGGAAATGTTGGTATCATTGAAAAAGGGGAAAATCACTATGCTTGAACTTCTTTTCATTTTGATGTTGCTCTTCTCTGGACCAACCCTGAGCAAGCTTAGCAGGACCAAAGGCAAACACTGGAAGGGGGGTAAGTGGAAAGGAAAAGTTTTGTCATGGATGTTTGGGTAAGGTACTAAAAAGCTGCAAAGCTGCATTAAAAGTAATCTAAGGAGAATACCTGTGCTATTTTGAGTGACTCAGATTTCAGGTTGCTGTGTGGGCTTGCAGCAGGATGCTAAAAAGAGAGCATGGAGTTGAATTTGTTTTCTTGTTAGTTTGCTTGGCTGACTCTGGGTAAAGGTATGTATTCCTTGCAGGAATTTTGCTTTGCATTTTACTATTAGCAGAATAATGTTTAGGGCCTTGATACAAATAAATGCATGCCATTGAGAAATTTAGTGATTTTTTGGATTGTTAGAATTCACATTGTTCCTTTCATTATGAAGCCTCTGGAACTCTTGTGGCTTTGCTGGAAGTGATGTTACCCCTGTCATAGGGGGCTAGAGTGTTGGAAGATAAGAGAGAAAGAAAGCAAGAAGCCTATTTTGAGTGCAGAATTGTTAGTATATGAGGTAAAAATGACTAGACGGACATTTTTTTAGAATACATGGATGTTGTGAAATGCACTGCCAGCAGCACTAATTGGCTGACTGGCTATGTCAGTGTTGATGTGTTAATAAAGATAAATTGCATTAAGTTTATCGAAAAAAATGCTATGTTGAGAAAACATTTATGATTTTTGAAGGCAGTAATCCATTTTCCTCTTCTGTTAAAAACTGCTGGGAAGATTTACCCTATGTGTGCTGTGAGCAGTTCACTAAATGTGCCTTTTCATAAAGTTCACTTTGTTTTGCTTCCTTGCATGACATTTGTTTATGGAAAACATGGGTTATTGAGGTCTCATAATCTAATATAGCTCAGTGAGCATAAATGGTATCTCATAAATATTTGGACTGAGGGACTGTGGATTGTAGATAGTTTGATATTTTCTCCCTGGTTGTTTCTTGATGTTGCTGATTGGAGGCACCCCAAGGAATTTTTTACTTTTTTTTTTTTTCCCTTACAAGTGTTGCCACAGCATGGTGTGTTTATCACAGCTTTAATAGCACTTCCAGTTTTTCTCTGCTGTCAGTATTGTGATCTGAGGTTAAAGAGTAGCATCAACATTAAAAAGAAGTTTTAATAATTTATCACAACATCTCAGCAGGAGACTCCTCCCTCCCCCCTTGACATTTCCTTTTGTTGCATTTAATCTTCCACCTACCATACCTTCAAGGGAAAAGTTGCAGCACACGCTTAACCTGGATTGTTAATGCAGCACATATATCTGAAAATTATTTCCTGGTCCTGTAAATCACATTATCACATGTAGCTCACAGTGCTGCTGCTGGGTATCCTCGTTGCAAATTAGAAGCTGTTATTTACTCTGGGCAACATGACCTCTTCTCAGAGGTATGTGACTTAGGAATATATGTCACTGTCAAGTTCCTGGGATTTAAGAAATGTTGTTAACTTTTTTCTCTTTCTCCAATTTTCAATTAAATCTGGTAAATGAGGGCTGGATGCTTTGGTCTCTTACCTACTCTCAAGCAGAGGCAAAGAGCTGAATTTTTATCATGGGTAGAAAATACCCTATGAACCTGACTGCAGAAAGTATCTTAATATGGGCTTTTGCTGTTCCAAAAAACGTTTTTCGCAGCTGAAACAAAACATAAGGAAGATACCTGCTTCAAGGAGGCTAAGAAGCAATTTGTCTTGTTTGCTCGGAGCTCTGAATCAGCAAAACCCTCGGCATCCCTGCTGCCCAGTGGTTTGTTTTATGTGTGGCAGTACTGTGAGTGCTGTGTGACTTGAGGAGGATGCCTGCTTTTGAGAGCTGCAAGTTCAGGATCTGTCAGATCTGAACATTGTTGTAAGCTCATGTAGTTTCTGAGCGTTTCTGACCTCCAAAACAGAACGTGTGCACCGCCCCTTTCCATTAACCATTAAGGATCAGCTTTTGCTTGTATCTCAGTGATTTGAGTTGTTTCTGCTGCTGTGCAGATGGAATTCAGGGTGTTGCTTGGTGAGAGGTCAGCATGCAGACTTCTCCACTGCAGCTCATTGGGAAACCCATCCCAAAATGGCAACAGAGATTTATTTTATTCCCATTTTAATGAGACTGCAGACAGCCAGAGATCTGCATACAAACTTCCAGCTGTGTTGTTCAGAGGGGAAGGCTGAAGCTGGATATGTGCACCTGGAAATGCATTGGATGACTTACAGTATTACCTATGCTGAAATGAGTTGCATGATGGATAGGCACAGCTGATTTAGACCATCCTCTAGTTCTTCCATGCCACATTTTGTTTCAAGAGTGCTGTGAAGTATAGACATCTTTGGAAAGTGTTGGTATTTGTGTCGGCCTTGTGTCTAAGTCCTGGTCATGATCAGTACAAGTTAATGAATCTGGAAAATTTTCTGGTACAATGAATAAAAACATCATTGCTGAAGTTACAAGCTCTGAGAAGACATTTACTATGGGCTTTTTGTATAATTCTGTATTTATGACAACACCAGCTTTTTCACCTGTATTTTTCTCCTTGGAATTCACTAAAAGCAAGAAAAATCATCACCCACATACAACTAAAAGAATGGAATTATGGGTAGAAAACTGCTTATGATTTACTTGCAAGGTTAGGTGTCACGGAGTGAAATGAGTCCTGTATGTGGGTCCAGAGAAACATAAAGATACCATTTTCTTTTCTAGCTGTTTTTAAGTCTGCATGCCAGAAAACCTTTCAGAATGATTCATTGGAATGCAGTCTCTAAATGTGCTTTAAACTGGGATTTATAAACTAATGTTCAAGATAAACTGGAGTCTAAAAGCAGAACCTGGAAGTACAAATCAACTGGAATTTCTTTTTCTCTTTAAGCTGAAATAACACACCATGGTTCAAGTTTAAGAAAGATTTATAATAGGGAGACGAAAAAAACTAGGAGAAGGAAAAAGAAGATTAAGTATTGTTTTGAGTTTATCTTAAATCAGAAAGCAGATTTGAGGTGTTACTAATGCCTACCCACTTCTGAATTATTTTGTTGATTTTCTTCAACAGTGTTTTCCCTTTACCATATATCTTGGTCATATGCAGGGGGGAAGGTTAGAGTGTGGATAAGCTTTGTGTCTGTCCAGTGGCATCTGGGAGGATTTTCACACTGGGAAGTAAGCTGCCCATTTGTTTCTAGCTGTGTGACAGAGCTGTTCAGAGAGAGAGTGAGACCATTAGGACATCCACCACTCTTGGAGGACAGAAACCCCTCACTCATCTTGGAAACAATCCATGCCCACTGGGGGCAAGTTGTGCCCATTCAGGCTGCTGGGCAGCTTTGAAGAGTCTGACTGTGCATGGTAGTGTCTCTAAGAGGATCTGGTCCTTTTGCCAGGTCAGCACCCACCCCAGCTGAGGGGTGGCCATCTGAGCCACTTTGGATGGTCCATGGGGTGAGCTGAGCCTCAGGAGGGGCACAGAGAGGCTCTGTGCACACTCTAGGGTGCCCTGGCATGAACATAATCTGTCAAAAATGCTGGCAACACCTCCCAAGTGAAGACAAGACCTTCAGGACTGGGGAGAGTAGTTGGAGATGAAAGACTTCACCACCAGACTTAGGGCTGGGAAATCCAGGTTAAAGAATGCCTTCTCCCCAAAGCCTTGTTTATTCACATATCCTTTGTGCTTCACAGAAAGAATTTCCATTTTCAGAACTCAGAGTGGCTTGATTTACTTACGATAAAATCGTAGAAATAAAAATAAAATGCAACCACAGGGCATCACCCCACAGAACTATCTGAGGGTGGTGCCTGTCCTTAGTGTCTACAGGGAAGTGAAGCAATAATCCCTTTAATGACTAAATCAAAGTTTATTATGCAAGTGATCCAGCCCTATATTTCTGTTCCAATTTCAGCTCTACAGGAGTTTAATCATTTTTATAGCAAAAGGTACCAGTGTTAGAAATCTTAAGTGTCTCTGGCAAGGTATGGCTGGTGGGGGTGATACAAAGCCTCAGATTCAGTCTCCCTATAGATTGATCAGCACATGTATTATTTAGGCTGCTTGTAGTACACCAACACTAGTTTAAATGTTAAATAAATGAAAGTAGATGGATCCAGGTAACCTGGATTTGAGTGTAATTGTGAGGCATGAGGGGTCTGGTTGGATGTGGAGCTTTTGATGTGGTGGTTGAGTTGCAGCACTTGTAGAGCACAGACAGCTGTGCTGAGATGATTCACTGTTTACTTTATGTGATTTTAAGCATAACACTTTATATAGTTTGTCATTTATCTAATTTAAGTATTTTATTTTATGTAATTTCAAGGATAAACTGCATTAATTATTTTAATATCTTATCATGCTGTATGACTAACAGTATTTCTTAAATATTGAGAGATTAAATATGCTGCTGTGCTTTTTTACATTGGAAAAGCTTATGAAATGCTGACCAAAAGTTTCAAACCCAGGGTCCTAAAAGTATTTCCCTAATACAGGTTGTTTCATAGAAGCAATCTGATTTTGAGAAGTAAAAAATTCACATTTTTTTTTAACTTCAGAAGAAGCTTGCTCTATTCGAGGCGGTTGCTTGTGCATAGCTAAAAATCTAAAAGTCTAATTTTGGAAACTGAGTACTGGAAGTGTGGATCTGCAGTTTTAGTTTGACTGCAAGTATATAAAGCATATGACTACACACAGTATGTAATTTGGTGTACCAAAGGATGCTCTAATAGTTTTGCTTTGAAAATTGCTAAAAGGGGAAAGAGTATTTATTTGGATGCAGAGTGACTGTGAAATTAACTGGGTTTTATTTAGTCTTCTATTTTCTTTTAAGTCTGGATTTAGTCTTTATCCCATGAAACAAACAATTTTTTTGCACCTTCTTTTACACCACTTTCTTCAGAGTAAAATCTGAATTCAAAAGGTCTCTGGGGATGCTTGAAGCTTCCTGCACATATTTTGTTGGAATAAATGGAATATATATCTATCTCTAACCATCTCTTTGAAGACATTTGAAATACTTTATAGAAGTTTGGCAACATGTGTTTAGTCTCATACAGGC